CCCGCCCCGCGACTGGACACAAGGGAGCGCTGTCCTGCCTGGCTGCGTGAGCCGCCGGCCCAGCAGGCACCAGGCCGGGGGAGGACACCGGAGCACCAGCAGCAGCAAATCAATGTGCCGCCGGGGTGTGATGGGGCCGTCATGGAGACTGTTCCTTGGAAACTGTTCCCGGCGGATGGGAAACCCCCTCTCGCTCCCGCCGTGCCCCAGCCAGCCCCCCTGGGGCTCCACAGGGACCCCCGCCAGCCCACACCTCCCCAGGGGCATGCAGCCAGCTATGTGGGGGGGGAGGACGCATGCTGAATTGGTCCAGGGCGGGTGGGCGAGGGGATGGATGTTGCTAGGCAACCAGCATCCTCCGTTGCCGTGGCAACCCCCCCATCCCAGCTGGGATGCAGCTCGCCCGGATGACGAGGTGATTAGAGGAGGGGAGCGGGGGAGGCAGGCAGGCAGCGGGGACCTGCCGGGGCCTGGCAGGCACCCAAACCTGCTTGCCACTGTCACGCACTGCACCCGGAAAGCCGGGGCCGCCCGTGCTGGACACCCCCCCCCATCCCTGCGCCGGGGCGGGTGGGCAGCTCTGTCGATCGGCAATCAGCTGGTGGCGCCCGCATGGTGCTTGCCGGAGCACCAAAATCCCTGCGGTGCCGAGCAGAGCTGTCCTCACCCAAGCTCACAGCTTCCAGACGGAGGGTGGGCTCGGGTATGGGAACTGGGGGGCCCCTACAGGCAGACCCCCCCAAACCGGGGCCATGACTGAGGGGGCTGCCCCCCCACCACCCACCACCCACCAACTGAGGGGGCCTCCCTCTGCCCCCCCACCACCCACCATCCCCTGAACCCCCAGCAGCAAGCCGCAGATAATGACACCAACAAGATTGACTTTAATCTGCACATCCTGATCCCGCTAATCGGCCGCCCCAGCCGGCGCCGGCTCCCAGCCTGGAGCCGGCAAAGCAGCTGCAAAGCGCCGTCTGCGATGCCTGCGCCGGGTAGGGCGACAAACACAGCCCCTGCCTGCAATCGTGGCCTCTGCCTGCAGCTGCAGCCCCGGCCCAGGGGACCTGCTGTGATCCCCCAAGAATGGGGGTGGACGGCAGCAGTTTGGGGGAGCCCAAGGCCACTTGCAGGGTGGAATGCAGCTGGCTGCAGAGGGGAGGAAACAAGTAGGGCAGAGCCACGGCATCACTGCCTGGGGAGT